GGAGGTGATCCACCAGGAGCTGGTTGGGCCGTTGCGTCACTTCTTGACGCAACGGCCCCCCCCCCCATCCCCCCCCCCCCCCACTCCCTACTCCCACGCATCCCCAAAAAATATATATAACTTGTAGATAAATGTAGAAATGAGTGGAATAATGTCTGTAGGACCACGTGACGTGAGGTGAGGGAGGTGAGGAAGACATTACTGGGAGGTGTGACCGGAGAGGAAGGGCTTGAAACACTTGTCGGGGAGGAGTGATTTGTGTCTCTCTCAACCACTTCCTCCACCACCCTCACTGCCCCCCCCCCCCCCCCCCCCATCTTACCCCCCCCCCCTCCCCTCATTCACACACGCATCTCCCAGAATGAATAGACTCGTTCCTCTCAATGTTACCTTGTTTAATGTTTACTGTTTGCGAGGGTTGAGCTTTGGCTCTTTGGTCCCGCCTCTCAACCGTCAATCAACAGGTGTACAGGTTCCTGAGCCTACTGGGCTCTATCATATCTACACTTGAAACTGTGTATAGAGTCAGCCTCCACCACATCACTGCCTAATGCATTCCATCCGTTAACTACTCTGACACTGAAAAAGTTCCTTCTAACGTCTCTGTGGCTCATGTGGGTACTCAGTTTCCACCTGTGTCCCCTTGTTCGCGTCCCACCAGTGTTGAATAGTTCATCTTTATCTACCCTGTCAATTCCTCAGAATTTTGTAGGTAGTAATCATGTCTCCCCTTACTCTTCTGCCTTCCAGTGTCGTAAGGTGCATTTCCCACAGCCTTTCCTCGTAACTCATGCCTCTTAGTTCTGGGACTAGTCTAGTGGCATACCTCTGAACTTTTTCCAGCTTCGTCTTGTGCTTGACAAGGTACTGGCTCCATGCTGGGGCCGCATACTCCAGGATTGGTCTTACATATGTGGTATACAAGATTCTGAATGATTCCTTACACAGGTTCCTGAACGCTGTTCTGATGTTAGCCAGCCTCGCATATGCCGCAGACGTTATTCTTTTTATGTGGGCTTCAGGAGACAGGTTTGGTGTGATATCAACTCCTAGATCTTTCTCTCTGTGTCTGGCCTTCTGTTTCGACCGCCTACTTTCACTACCTTACATTTACTCGAGTTGATCTTTAGTAGCCAACAAGTAGTAGCCTACTTAGTAGAACTCAACTTGTGTGTGCATTCACCTAGTTGTGCTTGCGGGGGTTGAGCTCTGTTCTTTCGGCCCGCCTCTCAACTGTCAATCAACTCTTTCTACTACTACCACTACTTCCCTCTTCCCCCTCCCCCCCCCCCCCCACACACACACCAGGAAGCAGCCCGTGATGGCTGACTAACTCCCAAGTACCTATTTACTGCTAGGTAACAGGGGGCATAGGGTGAAAGAAACTCTGCCCATTGTTTCTTGCTGGCGCCCAGGATCGAACCCGGGACCACAAGATCACGTGTGCAGCGTGCTGTCCGCTCGGCCACCGGTGTGTGTGTGTGTGTGTGTGTGTGTGTATGTGAGTGAGTGTGTGTGTACTCACGTATTTGTACTCACCTATTTGTGCTTGCAGGATCGAGCATTGACTCTTGGATTCCGCCTTTCCAGCTATCGGTTGTTTACAGCAATGACTCCTGTCCCATTTCCCTATCATATCTAATTTTAAAATTATGAATAGAATTTGCTTCCACAACCTGTTCCTGAAGTGCATTCCATTTTCCCACTGCTCTCACGCTAAAAGAAAACTTCCTAACATCTCTGTGACTCATCTGAGTTTCCAGTTTCCACCCATGTCCCCTCGTTCTGTTATTATTACGTGTGAACATTTCGTCTATTTCCACTTTGTCAATTCCCCTGAGTATTTTATATGTCCCTATCATATCTCCTCTCTCCCTTCTTTTCTCTAGTGTCGTAAGGTTCAGTTCCTTCAGACGCTCTTCATATCCCATCCCTCGTAACTCTGGGACAAGCCTCGTTGCAAACCTCTGAACCTTCTCTAGTTTCCTTATGTGTTTCTTCAGGTGGGGGCTCCATGATGGCGCGGCATACTCTAAGACGGGTCTCACGTAGGCAGTTTTTTTTTTATTATTATTATTTTCTACCACAAACGTGGCCAGACATTTACAATGCTAACCAGCATATATACATTTTCTTCTGTCCTCCATGGACAGGGTTAGAGATGTGTTAAACATATAGTTCAAGGGTTTATTGAACAATCAACCACAGAAGGTGATTCGGTGCTTTTAAAATGCTAAGCTAACCTACATACGTAAATACATAGATGCACAGATTTACGTATGTCCGACGTAAAGTGTTAGATGTGTCTTTTACATAGTGTCATTAACGTACATTTACAAAAGTGAAATGTAATTTTGATCAGCTTCCATATATACTTTATACCCATACATATACATACACACTCACACATATATGTACACATACATACATACTCATTGTGTACTGTCCTTTTGGTCGTCTATCACCTGATCCCATTTCCATAACTTTACATTTACTGGTGTTGAACTCCAGTAGCCATTTCCCTGACCATCTCTGCAACCTGTTTAGGTCCTCTTGGAAGACCTCATCTGTCACAATCCTCATCTGTCACAATCCTCATCTGTCACAACTCTTCTCATTAATTTTGCGTCATCCGCTAACATTGACATGTATGATTCCACTCCTGTAAACATATCATTTATGTAAATTAGAAAGAGGATTGGTCCCAGCACCGATCCTTGAGGTACTCCACTTGTTACTGTTCGCCAGTCCGACTTCTCGCCCCTTACCATTACCCTCTGGCTCCTTCCTGTTAGGTAGTTCCTCACCCATACTAGGGCCTTTCCGCTTACTCCTGCCTGCCTCTCAAGTTTGTATAGCAGTCTCATGTGCGGTACTGTATCAAAGGCCTTTTGGCAGTCAAGAAATATGCAGTCTGCCCAGCCTTCTCTGTCCTGCCTTATCCTTGTTACTTTGTCATAGAATTCAAAAAGGTTTGTTAGGCATGATTTCCCTGTCCAGAACCCATGTTGGTGCTTGTTAACAAACCCAATACTCTCCAGGTGCTCAACAAGTCTTAGCCTAATTATTCTTTCAAGTATTTTGCAGGGGATGCTTGTCAGTGATACGGGTCTGTAGTTAAATGCCTCCTCCCTATCCCCTTTCTTGAAAATCGGTACGACATTTGCCTACTTCCAGCAACTGGGCAATTCTCCCGACATAAGTGACTCATTAAAGATCTTTGCTAGAGGCACGCTGAGAGCCTGCGCTGCCTCTTTTAGTATCCATGGTGATACTTTGTCAGGTCCAACCGCTTTAGTTGCATCCAGTGTTGTCAACTGTTTCATTACCTCCTCTGCTGTCATCTCTGTATCTGATAGTCTTCCATCTAATCTCTTCTAACAATGGCAGCCACTCAGGCTCGGTTGTGAACACTCCATGGAAACTTGCATTCAGTACCTCACAGATTTCCTTGTCGCTTTCTGTATATGCCCCCTCTGTTTTCCTCAGTCTTGTCACTTGGTCCTTCACCGACATCTTCCTTCTTATATGGCTTTGTAGTAATTTAGGTTGCTTTTTCGCTTTGACTGCAATATCATTCTCATAATTTCTTTCCGACACTCGTCTTATGTTAATGTAATCATTCCTAGCTCTGTTACATCTAATCCTGTTGTCCTCTGTCCTTTGTCTTCTGTACTTCCTCCACTCCCTCCTGCTTCTCACCTTTGCTTCCTGACACTGTCTATTAAACCATGGGTTATTATATTCCCTCCTGCTTTTTTCCTTTATTGTTGGAATAAATCTATCTTCAGCCTCCTTGCATTTCCATACGACTTGGTTCATCATATCCTGCACTGTTTTTCCTCTAATTTCTTCCTCCCACTGCACTTCTCCCAGGTAGTCCCTTATCCTTCTGGAGTCCCCTTTTCTGTAATCAAGTCTCCTTACTCGGGTCTCTTGTCCTTGTGTGTGTGTGTGTGTGTGTGTGTGTGTGTGTGTGTGTGTGTGTGTGTGTGTGTGTGTGTGTGTGTGTGTGTGTGTGTGTGTGTGTGTGTGTGTGTACTCACCTATTTGTACTCACCTATTTGTGCTTGCGGGGGTTGAGCTTTGGCTCTTTGGTCCCGCCTCTCAACTGTCAATCAACTGGTGTACAGATTCCTGAGCCTACTGGGCTCCTTCATATCTACATTTAAAACTGTGTATGGAGTCAGCCTCCACCACATCACTGCCTAATGCATTCCATCCGTTAACTACTCTGACACTGACAAAGTTCCTTCTAACGTCTCTGTGGCTCATGTGAGTACTCAGTTTCCACCTGTGTCCCCTTGTTCGCGTCCCACCAGTGTTGAATAGTTTATCCTTGTTTACCCGGTCGATTCCTCTGAGGATTTTGTAGGTTGTGATCATGTCTCCCCTTACTCTTCTGTCTTCCAGTGTCGTTGTGTGTGTGTGAGCGCGTGCGTGTGTGCAAGGGGGAGGGAAGCCTACCGGACCCAGTACAAGAGGAAGGACAGAGGACCACAGGATCAGACGCAACAGAGCTAAGAAAAAATACATCAACATAAGAAGAGTATCGGAAAGAAATTATGAAAAACGCCAAATTTGCAATCAAAGCGAAAAATCCTCCAAAATGACTACACAGCCATATATATATAAGAGGGAAATTGTCGGTGAACGACCAAGTGACAAGACTAAGGAGAACAACACTGGATCAAACTATACCAGTTGGACCAGACAATGTATCACCGTGGATACTTGGGTGTGAGGGGGTGAGGGGTGAGGGGTGAGGGTGTGAGGGGTGAGGGGTGAGGGTGTGAGAGGTGAGGGGTGTGAGGGTGTGAGGGGTGAGGGGTGAGGGTGTGAGGGGTGAGGGGTGAGGGTGTGAGAGGTGAGGGGTGTGAGGGTGTGAGGGGTGACGGGTGAGGGGGTGAGAGGTGAGGGGGCCAGCAGGTGAGGCAGGGGGCGCCGGCCAGTAAGGTGGAGAAAGGATTTATGGAGTAACTAGAGGAGGCGGCCACAACCCTTCCGGCGTGGGCGTCCCGGGGCGCCCCTTCCTCCCCGCCTCCGTCGTCCACGTGGGGTTGCTGCCGTCTGATAGTGCTTGCTGCCGTCTGTGAACGCTTGCTGCCGTCTGAGAGCGCTTGCTGCCGTCTGTGAGCGCTTGCTGCCGCCTGAGAGCGCTTGGAGCCGTCTGAGAGCGCTTGCTGCCGTCTGAGAGCGCTTGCTGCCGTCTGATAGTGCTTGCTGCCATCTGTGAACGCTTGCTGCCGTCTGAGAGCGCTTGCTGCCGTCTGTGAGCGCTTGCTGCCGCCTGAGAGCGCTTGGAGCCGTCTGAGAGCGCTTGCTGCCGTCTGAGAGCGCTTGCTGCCGTCTGAGAGTGCTTGCTGCCGTCTGATAGTGCTTGCTGCCGTCTGAGAGTGCTTGCTGCCGTCTGATAGTGCTTGCTGCCGTCTGTGAACGCTTGCTGCCGTCTGAGAGCGCTTGCTGCCGTCTGTGAACGCTTGCTGCCGTCTGATAGTGCTTGCTGCCGTCTGATAGTGCTTGCTGCCGTCTGTGAGCGCTTGCTGCCGTCTGATAGTGCTTGCTGCCGTCTGTGAACGCTTGCTGCCGTCTGAGAGCGCTTGCTGCCGTCTGAGAGCGCTTGCTGCCGTCTGAGAGCGCTTGCTGCCGTCTGTGAGCGCTTGCTGCCGTCTGAGAGCGCTTGCTGCCGTCTGAGAGCGCTTGCTGCCGTCTGAGAGCGCTTGCTGCCGTCTGTGAGCGCTTGCTGCCGTCTGAGAGCGCTTGCTGCCGTCTGAGAGCGCTTGCTGCCGTCTGTGAGCGCTTGCTGCCGTCTGTGAGCGCTTGCTGCCGTCTGAGAGCGCTTGCTGCCGTCTGTGAGCGCTTGCTGCCGTCTGTGAGCGCTTGCTGCCGTCTGAGAGTGCTTGCTGCCGTCTGATAGTGCTTGCTGCCGTCTGAGAGTGCTTGCTGCCGCCTGATAGTGCTTGCTGCCGTCTGTGAACGCTTACTGCCGTCTGAGAGCGCTTGCTGCCGTCTGTGAGCGCTTGCTGCCGTCTGATAGTGCTTGCTGCCGTCTGTGAACGCTTGCTGCCGTCTGAGAGCGCTTGCTGCCGTCTGTGAACGCTTTCTGCCGTCTGAGAGTGCTTGCTGCCGTCTGTGAGCGCTTGCTGCCGTCTGATAGTGCTTGCTGCCGTCTGTGAGCGCTTGCTGCCGTCTGATAGTGCTTGCTGCCGTCTGATAGTGCTTGCTGCCGTCTGTGAGCGCTTGCTGCCGTCTGATAGTGCTTGCTGCCGTCTGATAGTGCTTGCTGCCGTCTGTGAACGCTTGCTGCCGTCTGAGAGCGCTTGCTGCCGTCTGTGAACGCTTGCTGCCGTCTGATAGTGCTTGCTGCCGTCTGATAGTGCTTGCTGCCGTCTGTGAGCGCTTGCTGCCGTCTGATAGTGCTTGCTGCCGTCTGTGAGCGCTTGCTGCCGTCTGTGAGCGCTTGCTGCCGTCTGATAGTGCTTGCTGCCGTCTGATAGTGCTTGCTGCCGTCTGTGAGCGCTTGCTGCCGTCTGATAGTGCTTGCTGCCGTCTGTGAACGCTTGCTGCCGTCTGAGAGCGCTTGCTGCCGTCTGTGAACGCTTGCTGCCGTCTGATAGTGCTTGCTGCCGTCTGATAGTGCTTGCTGCCGTCTGTGAGCGCTTGCTGCCGTCTGATAGTGCTTGCTGCCGTCTGATAGTGCTTGCTGCCGTCTGTGAACGCTTGCTGCCGTCTGAGAGCGCTTGCTGCCGTCTGAGAGCGCTTGCTGCCGTCTGAGAGCGCTTGCTGCCGTCTGATAGTGCTTGCTGCCGTCTGTGAACGCTTGCTGCCGTCTGAGAGTGCTTGCTGCCGTCTGTGAGCGCTTGCTGCAGTCTGATAGTGCTTGCTGCCGTCTGATAGTGCTTGCTGCCGTCTGTGAGCGCTTGCTGCCGTCTGAGAGCGCTTGCTGCCGTCTGTGAGCGCTTGCTGCCGTCTGAGAGCGCTTGCTGCCGTCTGTGAGCGCTTGCTGCCGTCTGTGAGCGCTTGCTGCCGTCTGAGAGCGCTTGCTGCCGTCTGTGAGCGCTTGCTGCCGTCTGTGAGCGCTTGCTGCCGTCTGAGAGTGCATGCTGCCGTCTGTGAGCGCATGCTGCCGTCTGAGAGCGCTTGCTGCCGTCTGAGAGCGCTTGCTGCCGTCTGTGAGCGCTTGCTGCCGTCTGAGAGCGCTTGCTGCCGTCTGTGAGCGCTTGCTGCCGTCTGAGAGCGCTTGCTGCCGTCTGAGAGCGCTTGCTGCCGTCTGTGAGCGCTTGCTGCCGTCTGTGAGCGCTTGCTGCCGTCTGAGAGTGCTTGCTGCCGTCTGTGAGCGCTTGCTGCCGTCTGAGAGCGCTTGCTGCCGTCTGTGAGCGCTTGCTGCCATCTGTGAGCGCTTGCTGCCGTCTGAGAGCGCTTGCTGCCGTCTGTGAGCGCTTGCTGCCGTCTGTGAGCGCTTGCTGCCGTCTGAGAGCGCTTGCTGCCGTCTGTGAGCGCTTGCTGCCGTCTGTGAGCGCTTGCTGCCGTCTGAGAGTGCTTGCTGCCGTCTGAGAGCGCTTGCTGCCGTCTGAGAGCGCTTGCTGCCGTCTGAGAGTGCTTGCTGCCGTCTGTGAGCGCTTGCTACCGTCTGAGAGTGCTTGCTGCCGTCTGTGAGCGCTTGCTGCCGCCTGAGAGTGCTTGCTGCCGTCTGAGAGCGCTTGCTGCCGTCTGAGAGTGCTTGCTGCCGTCTGAGAGCGCTTGCTGCCGTCTGAGAGCGCTTGCTGCCGTCTGAGAGAGCTTGCTGCCGTCTGAGAGAGCTTGCTGCCGTCTGAGAGAGCTTGCTGCCGTGTGAGAGAGCTTGCTGCCGTGTGAGAGAGCTTGCTACCGTCTGAGAGAGCTTGCTGCCGTCTGAGAGCTCTTGCTACCGTCTGAGAGCTCTTGCTACCGTCTGAGAGAGCTTGCTACTGTCTGAGAGCGCTTGCTACCGTCTGAGAGCGCTTGCTACCGTCCATGCCGTACTCGTCATACTGTCTATGGCTGGGACGGCGTCCAGACGACAGTAGCTTAGTGTTGACGACATGCAGAGACGGGCAGAGTGTGATCCAGGAAGCTGTTGTGCTCCAGCGACGGCATGAGGCAGACGTCAGCCCGAGGCCAGCATCTGGGGAGGCTGGAGCAGACGGTAGGTCCTGGCGAGTGCCTGGGGAGGGTCTGGGGTCAAGGGTTAACCAGGGAGGGTGCCAGGAGTGCCAGGGTCGAGCCCCGGGGAGCGTGCCACTCACCTCACACCTCCCGTCTGGTGAGTGGCAGCGTGTGGCTGGCTGGTTATGAGGTGTGAGGGACGGTGAGTGGTGCTGCCCAATACTGTCACTATGGCAGTGTGTCCACTCACAGGATGAGTGGCGCTGCCCAATACTGTCACTATGGCGGTGTGTCCACTCACAGGATGAGTGGCGCTGCCCAATACTGTCACTATGGCGGTGTGTCCACTCACAGGATGAGTGGCGCTGCCCAATACTGTCACTATGGCGGTGTGTCCACCCACAGGATGAGTGGCGCTGCCCAATACTGTCACTATGGCGGTGTGTTCACTCACAGGATGAGTGGTGCTGCCCAATACTGTCACTATGGCGGTGTGTTCACTCACAGGATGAGTGGTGCTGCCCAATACTGTCACTATGGCGGTGTGTCCACTCACAGGATGAGTGGTGCTGCCCAATACTGTCACTATGGCGGTGTGTCCACTCACAGGATGAGTGGTGCTGCCCAATACTGTCACTATGGCGGTGTGTCCACTCACAGGATGAGTGGCACTGCCCAATACTGTCACTATGGCAGTGTGTCCACTCACAGGATGAGTGGCACTGCCCAATATTGTCACTTTGGCGGTGTGTCCACTCACAGGATGAGTGGCGCTGCCCAATACTGTCACTATGGCGGTGAGTTCACTCACAGGATGAGTGGCGCTGCCCAATACTGTCACTATGGCGGTGTGTCCACTCACAGGATGAGTGACGCTGCCCAATACTGTCACTATGGCGGTGTGTCCACTCACAGGATGAGTGGCGCTGCCCAATACTGTCACTATGGCGGTGTGTCCACTCACAGGATGAGTGACGCTGTCCAATACTGTTACTATGGCAGTGTGTCCACTCACAGGATGAGTGGCGCTGCCCAATACTGTCACTACGGCGGTGAGTTCACTCACAGGATGAGTGGCGCTGCCCAATACTGTCACTATGGCGGTGTGTCCACTCACAGGATGAGTGGCGCTGCCCAATACTGTCACTATGGCGGTGAGTTCACTCACAGGATGAGTGGCGCTGCCCAATACTGTCACTATGGCGGTGTGTCCACTCACAGGATGAGTGGCGCTGCCCAATACTGTCACTATGGCGGTGTGTCCACTCACAGGATGAGTGGGCTGCCCAATACTGTCACTATGGCGGTGTGTCCACTCACAGGATGAGTGGCGCTGCCCAATACTGTCACTATGGCGGTGTGTCCACTCACAGGATCAGTGGCGCTGCCCAATACTGTCACTATGGCGGTGTGTCCACTCACAGGATGAGTGGTGCTGCCCAATACTGTCACTATGGCGGTGTGTCCACTCACAGGATGAGTGGCGCTGCCCAATACTGTCACTATGGCAGTGTGTCCACTCACAGGATGAGTGGCGCTGCCCAATACTGTCACTATGGCGGTGTGTCCACTCACAGGATGAGTGGCGCTGCCCAATACTGTCACTATGGCGGTGTGTCCGCTCACAGGATGAGTGGCGCTGCCCAATACTGTCACTATGGCGGTGTGTCCACTCACAGGATGAGTGGCGCTACCCAATACTGTCACTATGGCGGTGTGTCCGCTCACAGGATGAGTGGCGCTGCCCAATACTGTCACTATGGCGGTGTGTCCACTCACATGATGAGTGGCGCTGCCCAATACTGTCACTATGGCAGTGTGTCCACTCACAGGATGAGTGGGCTGCCCAATACTGTCACTATGGCGGTGTATCCACTCACAGGATGAGTGGCGCTGTCCAATACTGTCACTATGGCGGTGTGTCCACTCACAGGATGAGTGACGCTGCCCAATACTGTCACTATAGCGGTGTGTCCACTCACAGGATGAGTGGCGCTGCCCAATACTGTCACTATGGCGGTGTGTCCGCTAACAGGATGAGTGGCACTGCCCAATACTGTCACTATGGCGGTGTGTCCACTCACAGGATGAGTGGCGCTGCCTAATACTGTCACTATGGCGGTGTGTCCACTCACAGGATGAGTGGCGCTGCCCAATACTGTCACTATGGCGGTGTGTCCACTCACAAGATGAGTGGCGCTGCCCAATACTGTCACTATGGCGGTGTGTCCGCTCACAGGATGAGTGGCGCTGCCCAATACTGTCACTATGGCGGTGTGTCCACTCACAAGATGAGTGGCGCTGCCCAATACTGTCACTATGGCGGTGTGTCCAATCTTCATTATACGAATGTATATGTATGTATGTATGTATGTATGTATGTATGTATGTATGTATGTATGTATGTATGTATGTATGTATAATGTACCTAATAGCCAGAACGCACTACTTGGCCTAGTATGCAAGGCCCGATTTGTCTAACAGGCCGAGTTTTCCTGAAATTGTTTATTGTAGTAAATTTGTGTCTTAAGAAATATTAATGTTTTTCATAATATTATATACGATTATATTTTTTGAATCAAGTTAAAACTAACGTTGAAATATGACCAAACAGAACGTAACGAAACGTAACGAAAGGTAACAGAACGTAACGAAACGTAACAGAACGTAACGAAACGTAACAGAAGGTAACGAAACGTAACGAAACGTAACAGAACGTAACGAAACGTAACAGAAAGTAACGAAACGTAACAGAACGTAACGAAACGTAATGAAACGTAACAGAACGTAACGAGACGTAACAGAAAGTAACGAAACGTAACAGAACGTAACAGAACGTAACGAAACGTAACAGAACGTAACGAAACGTAACGAAACGTAACTGAACGTAACGAAACGTAACAGAACGTAACGAAACGTAACGAAACGTAACCGAACGTAACAGAACGTAACGAAACGTAACGAAACGTAACCGAACGTAACGAAACGTAACCGAACGTAACGAAACGTAACAGAACGTAACGAAACGTAACGAAACGTAACCGAACGTAACGAAACGTAACCGAACGTAACGAAACGTAACAGAACGTAACGAAACGTAACAGAACGTAACGAAACGTAACGAAACGTAACCGAACGTAACGAAACGTAACAGAACGTAACGAAACGTAACGAAACGTAACGAAACGTAACCGAACGTAACGAAACGTAACAGAACGTAACGAAACGTAACAGAACGTAACGAAACGTAACGAAACGTAACGAAACGTAACCGAACGTAACGAAACGTAACCGAACGTAACGAAACGTAACAGAACGTAACGAAACGTAACAGAACGTAACGAAACGTAACGAAACGTAACCGAACGTAACGAAACGTAACGAAACGTAACGAAACGTAACCGAACGTAACGAAACGTAACAGAACGTAACGAAACGTAACATTACGTAACGAAACGTAACGAAACGTAACAGAACGTAACGAAACGTAACAGAACGTAACGAAACGTAACAGAACGTAACGAAACGTAACAGAACATAACGAAACGTAACGAAACGTAACAGAACGTAACGAAACGTAACAGAACGTAACAGAACGTAACGGAACGTAACAGAAGGTAACGGAACGTAACAGAAGGTAACGGAACGTAACAGAAGGTAACGGAACGTAACAGAAGGTAACGGAACGTAACAGAAGGTAACGGAACGTAACAGACTGTAACGGAAAGTAACAGAAGGTAACGGAACGTAACAGAAGGTAACGGAACGTAACAGAAGGTAACGGAACGTAACAGAAGGTAACGGAACGTAACAGAAGGTAACGGAACGTAACAGAACGTAACGCAACGTAACAGAAGGTAACGGAACGTAACAGAAAGTAACAGAACGTAACAGAAAGTAACAGAACGTAACAGAAAGTAACAGAACGTAACAGAAAGTAACAGAACGTAACAGGAGGTAACAAAGTAACAGAACGTAACGGAAAGTAACAGAATGTAACAGAACGTAACAGAAAGTAACAAAGTAACAGAACGTAACAGAAAGTAACAAAGTAACAGAACGTAACAGAAAGTAACAGAATGTAACAGAAAGTAACAAAGTAACAAAGTAACAGAAAGTAACAAAGTAACAAAGTAACAGAACGTAACAGAAAGTAACAGAATGTAACAGAAAGTAACAAAGTAACAAAAAGTAACAACGTAACAGAAAGTAACAAAGTAACAGAAAGTAACAGAACGTAACAGAAAGTAACAGAATGTAACAAAGTAACAAAGTAACAGAAAGTAACAAAGTAACAAAGTAACAGAAAGTAACAGAAAGTAACATAACGTAACAGAAAGTAACAAAGTAACAGAACGTAACAGAAAGTAACAGAATGTAACAGAACGTAACAGAAAGTAACAAAGTAACAAAGTAACAGAAAGTAACAAAGTAACAAAGTAACAGAAAGTAACAAAGTAACAAAGTAACAGAAAGTAACAGAAAGTAACCTAACCTAACAACGGAACGTAACGGAACAAAGTAAGTCATGTTCATAATACAATATAATAAGATTCACTCATATACAAAAAATCATTTTTAATGAGTATCACTCTGCCTGTTAGGCAAATCGGGTCTTGCATACTAGGCCAAGTTGAGCGTCTTGGCAAGACTTAAATATTTATACGTGTCACCCACACCTGGTTCAACTGTGGGGGACCCCGAGCCTCGGGGAAGAGAATAAAAAGCATTCACGGTCAATTTCCTTCTCCTACCACCCTTTATTATTATTTTTATTATTATTCATAATGTATAGATAC